ATGTGAGCGTGTCGCGCGTCTCAATTTACGGCACGCCGTGCGCTCGCTGGCTGGGAACCTGGAAGTAGTGGGAAGGAACGGGGGAGACGGCTGACTCAAGGGCGGGAACTTGGGAAGGGAGGAGGGGGAGAATTGGTGCTTTCCCATATGTTAAGCGAGATGCACAGGCCACCATTCTCACGTTCAACGATGCATTACCTAAGGTAAGGTACCTTACTACCTAAGGTAGGGAAGGCAAAGTACCTAGGTACGCAAGGCAAAGTACCTTGGAAACGTATCTTTCTGACTGTGCGCCGACCTCCAGGATGCGGAAGGTTCCTCCTGGGCCCCTGCTTCCCTTCAACGCGTTCTTGAAAGTGGAAGGAAAGGGCGTGACGCGTCTCACTCTCGACTCACTAGGCAGGCGCTGCTTCCATTCACGGCCACACTTATCAGACCTCTTATCGCGTCTCTGCCACCTTCCCCCCCCCCGCCCTGAGGGGCCATGGAATGGAACTCAAGCATGATTCTCATCTCATAGCAGAAGGAGGGGCAGTCAGAACGCTCATATCGAGTCTCCCACACATCCACTCATCCGTCACCTCATAAGGCAAGGTACGTGCGGAGTACAATACCACGTGTGCAATGTTTTCAGTCACGTATTATCAAGTAACAGCTCACCTTCCCTATTGTTCTCATCAGTCTCTGAGTAGAGACTTAATCCTGCACTTGGCGTAGGAAGTAAGACAGTGCCTTGGATTTTAGCTTTCAGACAAAAGTCATGTCACTATTCCTATGTATCCCTATATATCTATTCCGTGTCTTCTTACTTGTCTTTGTGAATTCTCAAGTTCAGTGTGCGGTAAGCCGACCGCCAGCCGATTAAAGGCCCCACCTCCGGAGCTTGGGCCAGTCGGACTCAGCCCAGCCAAATCAACGAGCCAACGGGGAGCAGCGGCGCAAGAGGACGGTGCAGGTGCAGGTCCTGTCAGGGCAGTTTCTTGTAAGGTAGCTTGGTGCTCCTCTGCATTGTCATCTGCATGCATCCTGCTCGACATCGCACATGCGTTTCCGCCCGACCTGGCAACAACCACGATGAAGAAAAGACCAATCTCGCCCTAACCTCCTCACCTTCCGATTGACCTTTCCTCCCTCTTTCGCCGTCCTGTCCGTCCTCTGCGACGAAGGCCTACACCGATACCGCCGCAATGCAGACTCGAATACCTTTGCCACGGCCAGTGCAGCCGTTGCATGTCTACCGCCACCTGCTGCGCTCTGCCACCTACTTTCCTCCCTCAATACGACCGTTCCTCGATCATCGCATACGGACGGCTTTTCGAGACGAGCGGGACAGAATGGCTGAAAGCGAGCTCAACATTCCCCAGTCCCTCAACTCAGCAGAAGCTCGAGAAAGGGAAGTGGACCGGCGCAAAAAGGTTCTTGCCGACGCAAAACACAAGGTTCCTGTACTCCAGGCTGCCGTTGAAGGCGATCAAGCCCGTCTACGGCGTGTCATGTGGCATACCTTTGGCCGACTTGGCAAATCCCGTCGCGAGCTTATGGCCTCATTTGTCCAAAAGGCGCCGGACCCCAAGGCCGACCCTGCCAAGCTAGAAGAGCTCGCAAAGAAAAAGAAAGAGCATAAAAAGATGATGGAAAAGCGCGCCAAAATCCATCCTTGGAACCGCGAATACACCTGGGACGAGCCCACGCCCTGGCTTCGGCAACATCTCAGTCCTATGGAAGAAAATTGGGACCTTCCCAAGCTGGATCGATACCTCAGGGCGCAAAAGAGCCACCAGCGTAACACCACGGGCGCCGCCTTTCCTAGAGGTACAATCGGCGATCTTGATCCAGAAAAAGATGTACCCGAGAAGGACGGCTGGGGCCGTCCAGTCGCATTGCGGAGAGTAACGAAACTCACAAGAAAGTTCTGGAAGGCCCAGGCCGACAAAATTATGCCTCCGGTATCCCAGGCAAATTGGGAGTCTTTACAGCAGCTCGCATCCGGAGAGGCGCCTCCTGGAATGTACAGGATGTTGAGACGACGGCCTATCGCCGGCGGCCCCGTCGAAGCGCCTCAAGATGCCATGACTAGCGAGCGGTCTTCGATACTCTCTGGCAACGATGGAGACGAATGGGAATCGCAGGAACCGCGGGAACTGTGGGAGTGGCAGTCGTCCGCCCATATCCCTGTTCGCGAGACTGAACGACCAAGTCAACGAAAGCTCGAATTGCTCACCGGCGAGAAGGACCTTGGACCATATTCGCAAGCACGTCGCCTCCGTCTTGGACACAATGAGAAGACAGACCGAATTGTAATTGAGAATGTCAAACGCCGCGCCTTCTCCAAGCGCGCTGTGCGGCGTGAATATCTCAAGATGTGGCAGGCAACCTCATATATGAAGGGAGGCCAGAGCAAATCGGCAAGGCCTGTGTGGGGTCGCGTGGAATTAGAACTGCCCGTGGTCACCGCGACGCATCATCATTTCTTCGAAGGCGTCGATGCCCAAGGCCGCTTACCGAAACCAGAGCGACACGAGTCTACAGACACGAGCAGTACTGTGCCCGAGGATGAGAAAGCCCAGTCTAGAAGTACAAAACAAGTCAGTTCTGGTGGTGAAGCCGGTGCAACTGGCGAGCCTCGGTCTAAGTCGCCTGACTCCGAGAAGCCCGGAACTCATGGCGACTTTGTAGCAAGGCCCCGTGACTTTAAGGATCCCAACCTATCCAGGCCTCCGCGTCAAGTCGACAGCACGCCAGGTAGCTTTGGAACCTTCAAGCTCTCCAAGTCTAGAGATCATAGGCAGCGAGACACACGCGACACCAATTCGAGTGACTCGAGGGGAGCATCTTTGACGTCAAAATAGGCGGACTAATTCATTGGTATGACAGACGTCATACCGCCTCTAACATATCCATCAAGCCAAAGGCGCCCAGGGAGGCTAGAATGCCAAGATATCGAGAGTCCGTGTACCAGAATGGTCGGATCATTTTCCTTACAGGCAAATGTATGCCACAGATAGTGAGGGAGAGCATCTCAGAAAGGTATCCTCTGGATTAGCTGTGTTGCTGGTCTTATACTTTAACGATGTATTTATATGACTGTAACTATTTTTCTTCTTTCGGTGGAGACTGGCTCTCCTCACGAATTAAGCAAGCCAGCCAGCTTCGGCAGGGCGTCGCCATCGACGCGCATGCCAACCCAGTCGTTCATGGCCTTTGCGCCAATGGACTCGTAAAACTTGATACTCGGCTCATTCCACTTCAAGACGGACCATTCGAGCCGCCCGCCCTCCATGGCGACGACCTCCTTGGCCAGCTCGACGAGCAGCCGCTTGCCGTAGCCCTTCTTGCGCTCCGACAGACGCACGTAGAGGTCCTCGAGGTAGACGCCCGGCTTGGCGCGCCAGGTGCTGTAGTTGTAAAAGTAGAGGGCCATGCCGACGCCCTCGCCGGCCTCGTTGAAGAGGAGGAGGCAACGCGCGGGTTTCGACGGCGATGTGGGCTCCGTTTGGGGTTTGCCTGGGGTGTAGGTTGTCTCCTGGGGTGACGAGGGCGCAAAGGCGACTGTGGCGCCGAGGGTCTCTTCTGTCGCAAGGACGCTGTCGAGCTCGTGCTCGTAGTCTGCGAGCTCTTTGATGAGGCTTAGGATGGTGGGGATATCTGGTGGGGTGTCAGTCCTGGGCCCCCCGTCTGCCATGGTTCTGGAGATGGAGTGCCTTACCCTCCCGGCGGGCGTGTCGGACAGATGCCATCTTCAAGTGTACAAGATGGTCGCTACTGTAATTCTATGATGAGTGAGACTGCGATATGAAAGACTAGCAGAGCCTCAAATGTCGTGATCTAGAGGCAGTATTTGTATCTCTACTGTATTCTACAACGTATCCATAAGATGTTAGAAACGATCGTCAAGGGCGCGCCTCATGTCATGTGGTGGGGAAGCTTGTATGCAAGCCCCCTCAGTTGTCCCGGCAGAATTGAGTCGACGTTTTCACCGCCTGCTTGGATGTTTCATATGGGCTCTCATGATCGTACTCATTGGGCTACACGAAGAGCAAGCCTTAATGAGTCTTTATGAGTATCTATAGCATCTCATTTGATCGATGAAGTGTCATAAATGAAATCGCCAATAGCATGGGTTTTGGTTGTGGAGTTGAGCAGCGAAATCACTCTTATCGTGAATTACAAAGCATCAGCGTATCATTCCGAAGACCCCGGTCGATTAGAGTACACTGTCATATGTCAAGTCATCGATGCAGGTACTAGGAGTGAATGAGAGTCTTCCGTCTACTTCAAAACCCAATGGCGTTCTTATACGCACAAATGTATGAGGCCCGGCGTTTAGAACGGGAGCTGAGACTGATGTCCGGCGGGAGAACCGTATCCAACACCGCATCTCCCACCCGTCGCCGACACCGGTCCGGGACGGATTGATAAGTTGATGCTAATACACCCAATGCCGCTTCACAATTGGACCAGGACTGTCCTTATCCTTGCTCAGTGATGATGACATGGACGATGTTGCCGCACGCCATTGACCGAGCCGTCTGAACCCCAAGAGCGCCCTCTCCCCCCCCACAGTTCTACAGTGAGAGTAGTACATAGGAATTAAAGTCCTTGGCTTGGTTCATTGGTGTTCCCCCCACCCCGGCCATCGGTCGCATCGGCGGCTTTCCGACCTGCCTGTTGCGCAATTCGACCCTGCGATGCGCAAAGCAGCCCCCGCACCCCGACGAATCCCATAAAGATGCCGATGGTGGGATTGAAAGTGCGACGGTTGGAGATTTGAGAAGCTTGGCCTGCTTTACTGTGCGATCATCAGCTGAAACGAAACCAAACCCTCCAATCCCGTCGGAGCTTCTCAGACTCTCAAACTCACACAAACGGCTTTCATCTCATCCCGAGTTTACCTCAGCGTTGCTTTATAAGCTATAAAACCAAGCTTATCGCCCAACTTCCTCTCTCACTCCTGAGATTCTCCCCCTGAGGCGTCCCTCATAAAACAACCCACCACACCAATGATCATGCTCCTCCCGCCACCGAATAAGACCCTCAAGGGTCACAAGCTTCTAGTCCTCTCGCAATTCCCGCTGCCGCAGGAATGGCTTGACAGGGTGCGCGCCGAGTTCCCCGACCTGAAGGTGGTGCATCACGAGCTAGGCTGGGCCGACAGGAAACCGAAAGACAGCTTCAACCATGATGAGTGGAAGGACGTGACGATCCTGCTGACGGGCAGCGCCCTGCCCGCCATCGAGGACGCGCCCAAGCTGCACTACGTCCAGCTTCAGAGCGCTGGCGCCAATCACATCCTCACAGACCCGTTGTTCAAGGATACGGATGTGAGCTTTTGCACGGCGAATGGTGTCCATGGGTAAGATTTGTCGTTCAGATTTCTGGATGAGAGCTTCTTACTGACATGAGAACTCTAGACCTCAGATTTCTGAATGGATCATAACAACATTCCTCTCGTTCCAGCATCAACGTAAGACATACCCCATCGCAATCGTAAATATTCCCGGAATCACTCATCTAACTTCAACGCTCAGTCCCTAAATATATCGACAACTACCGCTCCGGCCACTGGCAACGCGGCAACGATTTCGTAGAAGACGCAGTCGGCCGCACAATGTAAGCCCCTCGCTCATACCCAAACGCCCCAGGACCCATTTCTCACAAATCCTCAGAGGCATCCTCGGCTACGGCAGCATCGGCAGACAAACCGCCCGCGTCGCCACCGCCCTCGGCTTCAAAGTCCACGCCTACACCCTCCACCCGCGCCCGACCCCCGAATCCAAGCGCGACGACTCCTACACGCCCCCCGGGCTCGGCGACCCGGAGGGCAAGTTCCCCTCCAAATGGTTCTCGGGCGCCTCCAAGGCTGACCTGCACGCCTTTTTGGGTTCCGGGCTCGATTTGCTGGTCGTCGCGACGCCGTTGACGGATAAGACGAGTCACCTGCTCTCGGCCGAGGAGTTTGACATCTTGGCGGAGAAGAAGACGTTCATTTCGAACATCGCGCGTGGTCCGATTATTAACACGGATGATTTGATTACGGCGCTGGAGGAGGGGACGATTCGAGGGGCGGCGCTGGATGTTACGGATCCGGAGCCGTTGCCTGATGGCCACCCGCTTTGGAAGGCGAAGAATCTGTTGATCACGCCGCATATTAGCGGATTGTCTACGAGTTATGGGGACAGGGTTTTGGGGATTTTGGAGTTGAATTTGAAGAGGTTGAGTGAGGGGAAGAAGTTGGCTAATCTTGTGAACAAGAGGGAGGGATATTAGGTCGCCTGTGAGAGGACGGGTTGCGGTAGAGGACTGTAATCTGCGATGAATTGACGAAAGCTAGAAGAATATCACAACTTGACTCTGATTTCAGATCATGAGGCAGTATGTATGTTTAATGTGCAAGCATCGGTATGGCCTCGTATCATCACCACTATCGCTCAAAGATTGTTTCTCGCTCAGATTTCACGCCACATATTGTAGCAAAGACGTATAGCCTGCGTCACACATTTCGAAATGTTAATGTTTTGCAACTATCGATGGCCTTTGGTTACGAAGAGATCATTCTCCTGGGGAATGCCACGAAGATGTCACTGGCGTTGCCACTGTCGTCAACGAATACCAGCTTCCCATGGAGTACAATCTGCTGGTGGTTTCACTTCTACTTCCCCTATACTTTGAGCTCTTCATTACCGCACAATTAGACTGCCGCAACTACAGGCGTAGGCACCTTCTGTTCAGGCGTCTGGTAGCTCGTTGGTGGCTGCTCGTCACCAGAAATCGCAGTACTATCACTGTCCTGAGCCTTACGTATCCTCTTCTCCCTAGCACAAAGTTAGCTCTTGGCCTTCAACTGCTCATGATCAAGCGCGCTTACCCATGAGAACCTAACAAAAGCCTCACAACCTGCGTCATGATGACCAACAGCACAACCATGACAGCAGAGTACATATAGCCCTTGGAAAACCTTGGGGCTTCGACAGTTGGGTACACAAACAGCGGAATCCACGCGTTTGTAGATGTGGCGATGGCCGTCATGAGGATCAATGTCAAAGCCCGCTCCTCAATATTGTGTTTGAGGATGATGTTGGCCCATCCGTACAGCACCGAGGAGACCGCAACCGCAGAGTATGTGGTGCTAAATGCATACCACTTTGCGGCTTCCGGCACGTTCCAGATCGCCAGTATGACCAGTCCCGAGAAGTTGACCGCTGACGCCAGAGTGATTGCAGCAGGGCGCCCGATCCACAAGTCTGCGCTAAAGTTGATGAACAGCACGAAGAAGATTCCCAGCCCGGGGCTGAGCGCGGCCAGGTTATTCATCTGAGCTGTGCTGTATCTGCCGAGACTCTTGATCCACAGCAGGAAGGCCGCGCTGTTTGCACTGGTGTTGAAGAAGAGTATATCCCAGATGATCAAGACGTAGAATCGCCAGTTCGTAAAGACTCGTTTCAGAAGGTTCAAGGAGAAGGGTGTGCTCTTAACTGATGCGCCCGCTTGTTCCAGACGCGAGCGTGCCAGCTCGAGTTCGGATTCCTTGATGAGGAGCTTGTTTGGCTTTGCTGGCGTGCCGGACCAGACAAAGTATCCGATTACCGCGAGAGGTAGTGTGATGATTGCGTTGATGATGAAGAGCCAGCGCCAGCCGGCTAGGCCGTGGGTCCCGTCGAGGTATGTCACTGCTGCGGCTTGCAGTAAGGATGCTGTCAAGGTGCCAAGGGTAAGACCGATGTAGAAAATGCCGCCTCTGCGGCCGATCTCGTCGCTTCGATACCATGAACCGAGGACGAAGTGAACTCCTGGGAAGTACGAGGCCTGCTCTGTATGTTAGCTTCAATCCAAGACGGCCGAGGTAAAAGAGAGAATTCACTTCGAAGATGGCCACCATGAATCGATATGCCATAATTTCCGCGTAGCTCTGAGCACGGTACTGCAGCAGGGTAAACAGGCCCCAACCCAGATCTAGGGTCGGAACAAGCACATGCATCGGAACTCTTGGAAACAGGTAGATAAACGGCAAAAGACCGACTACGTTGCCCACGACGAAGATGGTCTGGAATTGGACGAGCTCATTGCCGTGGAAGCCGAGCTCATCGGCCATGCCAGAAACGTAGGCATTGTCTATGTTGTTGTTAGCTGCAATGGAAAACCTTCAAATTTTGTCTCGAAGGATCGCTTACTGATGTTGATCTGGTCGATGTACTTAACCCAGTAGATGATGCTGCGGATGTATGGTCAGTCTTGTCGAAGAGACCATGCAGAAACATCGAGACATACAAAGCATATGGTACGATGAGAAAGTCGAGTTTGAGGACCAGTTTCCTCTCCTCTGGGCTATCGGTAGGTGCAAACCAGTGGTACCAACGGCGAACCGACGGAGTTGACATGGCGTATGAGTCTGAAGTCGGATTTGGACTTGCAACAGTACCGGAAGGAACTATCGATACCAAGGCATCATCGTCTTTACCGAAGAGTATTTATCATTGCCACGTTCGACGAAACCTCAGATAGATGATGCTCTGGTAAAGTCGTCAACGCCGCATCGGAGCACATCACCAGCGGCCGTGGGTCGGGGTTCTCCCGATGAGGATCCAGACTCGCGCACCCATGGCAAAATGGCTCGGCAATAAAGAGGATGTAGTTATTTTCCCGATAGCTTATCTGGTCTTTATATCTGCAAGTTGTGGTTGGACGACGACCTTTCCTTTGAATATCGTTTAGACGTCTTACCGGGGTTGTTGGGGATGATGCCATCCTGTGTAACATTGCGCGAGCGGGTACGCGGCAGTTGGTATTTTCTTTCCGTGCAGAAACGTAACTCTTGGTTAGAAGAGGTTCTACAGTAAGTTTAAGACCCCGGATTCTGCATCCAAGGTCCTGAGCATCTGCCCACAGTCTCCATACCAAGCTCATTATGGGCTACGAGTTTGCTTTCTGAGCCAAAGATAGTATTTTCAAACACCTCTTTAAAGTTTGGGCAGGGTTCACTACTTTGCTGTGGCGCAAAGGGAAATAGCCAAGATTATAGGAGCTCAATTGGGAACTATTGATAGGGCATCTTGGTAAGGATCTCTTAAGTCTATTCTGTACTGTAAATTGCCCGATCTTGCCTGGTCTGGGCGCTTTCTCTTACAAAGAGTCCACAGAGGCTGAAGACTAAACCGGCAACTATAGGAATGAAGCAGTCGTGATCTCAGCAACGAAGAGCCGTATGACGTATAGGGGTCCACAATTGCACAAATACAAGAGGTGAAGCGTTAAAACATACAACTGAAGTCTATTCAAGTGTGGTACATTAATTCACGCATCTCGGGTAACAGGTACAATTTAGCTCATCTCATTCGAGCAGTGATTTGAGACTAAAAGGCTTGGCTACAAAACATACGGCTAATCTAAGCTACCTTAATCAAGCTCCTTACTCGCTACCCATAGCACCGGCAGCAATGCAGGCGTTCGAGAAGCCATCGCCGTCCATCTGCTTGGAGGGGGAGTTGCAGACACGGTGACCATCGCTGTCGCCGAGCGTGCAGTCGGAGCAGAAGCCGGGGCAGACCTTGTTGGTCACAGCATCGTTCTAGTTCGCTGTCAGTTTCTGTGTCTCGAGCACCAGGTATTGGTCTGGAGTCAAGAGCTTACGGGGAATGCGAAGATGAACTGGCCACTTCCAGAGGCAGTAATGCAATGAAGCTGGGTGTGATGCTTGGCGGTGACACTAATTGATGGTCTGTTAGCCACAAACTTCTGGAAATTTGTATTTCATGCGCCTTGTCGTAAAACAATAGAAGAAGAGAAGGAAGTACGAATGGGCAGAAGAGAATAGGGATAGCGTACCCAGTCGCGGTAGCGAGGATGAAAGTCATCATGGCGGTCACGGGAGAGAACTGCATTTTGAGAGCGAAGTAGGTAGGGCTGATTGCAAGAGAGTTCGTTGAAGTGAGTGAGTGATTCTTGAAGCGACTGTTGACTGTTTGGTTGAGTTATGAGTTGTGAAGATGATTATTGTAAAGAGGAAGATGTAGATACTTAAATAGCTATTGCTTGGCATGTCAGTAATTCATAGTCGAAGGGTTTAACATACTTGAAGCAATCGCCGGGTCCAACTAGATCAGATCTCCAGTGGTTCCCGGTACTGCCGCAAGGCTGAGATGTGGGATGATAATGTTCACGACTCAAGAGAGTGGTGAACTGGAGACAAGGCGTGGCCTGAGCCACGGCAGGGAGCGAATGCGAAAGCGAAAGTGGGAACAAGAGGTAGTGAAACCCACGATTCGACGAATAATTCTGCCATTGCTTTAAGTCGCCCACAATTGAAGCTTTCATCCCGGGAAATCGGAACATGGAAAGCTTTGGTAATCGAGGCAATTTGACTGTTCGTCTCATAGTCAATAACGGATATTGTCAGCCGCCGCGGATCAATCTCACCTTACCCAGCCCACTAAGTCAGGCAGTTGTCAAATTACATCCGCTAGTTATACGAGCTGCAGCTCTAGAGACTCATGATCCATGCATGGATAGTGGTTTCAGTATTCACATCAAATCAGGAAAGTATTCGCCTGCAAAGACGTTACCTGATACAAAACGCTGACTTTTTCTACGTGGCTCCAGGCCAAAAAAATATAGTTCAGAGGAAAAATATACATGCATGGATCCGATGAATCCGAAATGATATTACAAAAGGGTGGGTATCGCAACACAATGCCGTTACCCGTGATCATGTGCACACCTGTTCCCTCTCTTGCTTTTGGCCGTGTCTAGTTGACTTCATTCCATCGACTTAGACGCACTGGGAATACCAGTCGTTGACAAGCTGACACTTGCCAGATGCGCAGGTAGTGGCACCGGAGTAGCCCTGGCCACCGCACTGGCCGTACAGGGCAACGGATCCAGAAGTCGCAGCCTCGGAAGCCTTGGGCGCAGCAGAAGTGGATGCTACGGGAGCGGCCGAGGGAGTAGTCTCGACGGTATCAACGGTCTCGGCAGCAGCCTCAGTTGTAGCATCGGAGGAAGACGAAGCGCTGAGCTTGCCCATGCCGGCGTTGCTGGGGACGGTGGTCTTGATCGCACTACCAGCTGCGGCGCTGGCAATGGTGAGACCATCAAAGTCGCTGAAGAAAGAGGTATCGGTGTACTTGAACGCGTCGGTGGTGTCCTCGAAGACGTTGAGTTCGCACGCTCTGCCCAGCGCAGTCTTGCACTCCGCGGCGCTGGTCGCATCAGGAGCGGTGAATAGCTTGCCCTGGTAGTCGGAGACGAGCTGGTTGACGTTGATGAAGGCGTTG